GTTAAAACTAACATTATGCAAAAACTAGTTGCAATATGAATTCCTACTACACCATCAATATTCACACAGACTAACGTTAACAAAAAGAGCCAATAACCGGCTCATGTTCGATATCACAGGTCGTCGATAAATTTCATTCACTTCCATCGAACTGTCCTTTACCTTTCACACATCCTTCCATCGAAAACGAAATCTCTCCCTACTAATACTCCCTTAGAAAAGGAACAAAATAAATCTGCGAATATTCTCACGGCAGATCGAACTTCCTTCAATCGCGATTCCCTCGAAGTAAACAATCGGTCGATCGTAAACCCTGAAAACGTGCGAAACGACAGTAGGTGTACAAAGCAGCGGAACGTCGAAGAATCGGAGGCTCGAATGAAATGTGTACTTGACGGAGGAAGGACGATTTTTACGCGAGGTTCGTTGCTCGAACGAGTAACAGACGGTGGTGGCACGCGTTTCGACTTCGTCTCTCGCTGGTAATAAAGTTGGAATTGCTTCTTTCCAGTTAATCCTGCGATCCAGGATGAGCTTGTTCGAGCTATCGGTGGCTCGCGACCAAGCAACTGTGCCCTTTTCGCTTTGTAACCCGAAAGGCCTCTCGCGGTCCTAAAGCTTTATCGTCCGTGGCTCGCTCGTGTTCGAGCGGGGCGAGGGAATGGTGGGCGAAAAAAGGAGAGAGAAAAAAAGGAGAAAAGGTAAAAGGCAACGCCCTCCGTCCTTGGCGCGGAGGAACATCGATAAATGTCGTTCTCGAACCGGGTCTACTCAAATAAAACGCGAAACTGGGTTGGTCGTTAGCGACTCGCAGCCGGCTTGTTTCCTCATTAACTTGCCGAGCAATTAGAAGGCGGCGACGACGACTTAGACGATCGACGGCCCACCTTTTTGCTGGAACGCCCGCCCTGAATTGTGGCGCCGCTCTTACAATCGTTGATTGTGTCAATCGATTGTTGTTTCGAACGAATATACCTACCGGGTGTCTCGTTCGATAAAGTAGAGAAAGTTGTATTTTTGTGAATGTGAAAAATTCTCGGTGATTGGTTGGGGAATCGACACACTTTGGGTGTAAAATGTAAATATAGAACACTTGGAAATTGGAGTATGGTAATTCTTACTATTCGACAATCGCACGATCAAATATAAATATGACACGCTTGGAAATTAAAGTAAGGTAATTCTTATGCTCGTGCCAGAAGAGAAATGGAAGAGAGCTAGAGCAAAGAAGAGGTGCAATGGTGAATTTAGAATGTGATAAGGATAGATGAATACGTAGGTGTAAGATCGTATTTTATGAAGATAATCGATATAGGATAATTAATATAATAAAGCTAATTAATATAATTTAATAGAAGTTAAGGCTAGCAAGGTAAGATAGCTGCAGAATACTGTAAATAGAAAGGATGTAGCTGGAAGTGATCCTAAGTCGAGAGGCAAGGATTATAATGGATCTACTGACCAATTAGGGAATCGACACACTGTAGGTATTAAATAAAAATATGAAACACTTGAAAATAAAAGTAAGGTAACTCTTACTATTCTACAATTACACGAGAGGTGTCCTTTTTCTGCCACCAGCTCGATGTTACGCGTGAAATAAACGAGGAATAAAATTTGCCGAATTTTTCACGTGGAATATCCGGATGACAAAGATGACGTGGCAGAAAAGGGCCGGGATAATTAATCGCCTCTAATATTGCAAAACGCATTATTCGAGAGGCTTCATTAACCCACAGCTAAACCGAACACCCAGGATGGTTTTAATTGGTATTCATGAACCGACAACTAATGAATGCTAATTAATTTCGCGCGAATTTGCTCCAAGGCGCCTGTCATTATCGATTGTGTTAAATATATTCGAGCAGTATACGCACCTGTGTATACATATATATATGTTTGTGTGATAAAGCGAAAAGTTACCAGCGAAAAAGTCAATTAATTATCGATAACGTGGAGGAAGGAGAGAGTAGGAGGATCGAATAATGAATGTTTGTGCGTTGTGCGATATTCGAAAATATATGAAATCAAAGAGATATTACCATTTATCTGACGATAACGTGGAGGAAGGAGAGAGTAGGAGGATCGAATAATGAAATGTTTGTGCGTTGTGCGATATTCGAAAATATATGAAATCAAAGAGATATTACCATTTATCTGAAACGAAACAACAGCGTGACGCTATTAACGTACACACACATATGCGCGCGTTTGAATATAATTAATCTTAACTGAAACGCAATTATTTTCCAATCACGTTCAAGTCTCTCCTCTCCCATCTCGATACTTTCTATCTTTTAAAGAGCGAATCCCTTTTTTCACCCTACAGCTGATCGAAGCCTTTCTTCACGGCTGACTATTATACAACGTTCCGCGCTTTTGATCAACAGGTACGCCGGGCACCCTGGAAATATCGAACCAATTAAAGCAATTACTTGGGTTAAACAGGTGCTCGAGCAACTTTCACCTGAGCCTCTCCCCCTGAAACTGAAATTTAATTTCGATCTCGTGTCTAAACGAGCTCTATCGACGTTCAAAGTCTTCCTCCGACCGGAAACGATTGCGTTACAGCGACGGAGTTTTTAGCGCGATCGACGTTGTAATTTTAATCACGTACGAACGGTGTGATTTTAATACGATCTTCTCTACCTTGGAGGATGTATGATCGTTTTCTTCGGGTAGCTTAAAGGACACGAAACGTTGTTCGGAGGAGTATAGAATCTGATTTTGGTTCCTGTGAACATCGTGATGCTTTTGTGCGGCGGGAAGCTTACGCGTTAACAAGATTTAGATCACCGCGTAATCCGTGTACAATAGCTGCTGATCTAGTTCGGCCAGGGACCGTGCAAACCATTCAGCATTCCTGATTGCAAGATGGTCGTTGCTATTATCGAGCTAATATATCCGTCTTACGTTTCCGAGTGTATTGGGTTTAGAGGGATGATGGAATTGGTTAAGACGATGTTTACAATCCCTTGCGATATTTGTTCATGGTGTTTTTTCAGTTGAGTAAGCGGTTGCTTGTTCGATTTAAGGAAGCGTAATTCTTTTGAAAAATTTGTACGTTGGAAGAAGGAAAGAGAAGTAAGTAAAGGATAAATATTTGTGAGCGAAAGGGTGCATTGTTATCGATGAAGCTTTTGTTTCATGGTAAGAGAATGAAATTTAACTTTGTTATTTGAAGTAAGGAAATTCTACTGAGAAATTTATATCTTTGAACGAAGAAAGGAAGGTGAAAAAATTTGTATCTTTGAATAGAGAAAAAAAGATAAATCGATTTCTCGCGAGATTGATAAATCTTTGTTCCTCGATAAATGAACGAAATTTAACTTTCCTTATTTAAAATAAAGACATTCTTTCGAGAAATTTATATCTTTGAATAGAGAAAAAAAGATAAATCGATTTCTCGCGAGATTGATAAATCTTTGTTCCTCGATAAATGAACGAAATTTAACTTTCCTTATTTAAAATAAAGAAATTCTTATCTTTGAATGAAGAAAAAAAAAAAAGAGCTCGATTTCTCGTGAGATTGACAATCCCTTATTCCACGATAAATCGATAAAGCAGATTTAATAAGTATAAATGCCATGAAGACGAGGTTGGTGTAACAAACGAGGTTCGCGATTTTATCATACCAACTCTAATCACCAGTTAAGCTGCACTGAAACGTAAAGAAACACCGAGTTACTTAATTACATCGTATCGTACCATCTCGAACGACATGACGATGTATCCCTCGAATTATACAATTTGCCGCGATACAATCGAGGGTTTATTATTACGAGCGTGACTTGTAAATTGTAAATCTGAAGCAATAAGCTCGGAGAGCAAGGCTCCAGGGATGATGACTGATTAAATTAAGTACCATCGATCCGGTTGCGCAATAAACGGCTCGCAGTTTCCAAATAGGTTGCCATAAATAATCAACTTACGCTGTATTTATCGGAGGATATCCTCGGTTGTTGATCGTCCGTTCGAAATCGATTTCTCCGTTGAAATCGTATCGATGAAACGCACAGCTTACTCGCAACCTATCGCCAATTACAATTGCATCGATGTGACAAATATGTTTGTTATTATTCGCGGAATTTTCTGAACGATTTTAAACTGAGAATGTTGCGTTGTGCGTTTCGAACGAGCGGTATGCTCGAGAGTGGTGGCGCAGGATGGTGGATCTAGGATCTTGGTGACTTAGAGTTTGCACGTACTTTAATATGTTATAAGACAAAGGCTTTATGTTGAAGAGTGACAATTTTAGGTGGTGTGTGTTCGTTACGTGCTACTTGTCTATTTTCCCCTTTTGATCTGTCTTTCGGTCGCGTTGGTGCGCTTATTTATAAATGGGTGTACGGGTACAAGGTGGTGGTTTCCGCCAACGAGGACGGGTCTACCCTCTTGGACGGTCCTCCCTGGCCCGCGAGCATGCCGCCCACCCTGGAATTTCCAAGTTGGCAGGGTGGTGGTATGTCGCGATGGCGGGGGAGTGAGGCCCAAGGGTAGCCCGCGCGTAACGGGACTTTAGGCGGTCAGGGAGATGCGAAAGGTTTTATGACGTGTCAATGTCTATTGAATGTTGACGAGTGGGCACCGGGAATGAGAACGAAGATCGAAACACGCGTGTAAGGGCTTTTGGTCTGAATAATATCTGTCAAGATTCTCCGTCTGTCGTTGACTTCTCGACCTTGTCAACTACGCGCCTCCTATTTCGTTCTAATACAATCCTCCTACCATTCTCTTAACGCGTCCTTATACACGAGCCTTGATGCCCCTCTCTTGCCTCCGGGAAACCCTGGCGCAAGTTGGGGGTTTCTACCCAACAAGGTCCGCGTCGCGCGAGCACGTGGCTGGGTCCTTACCTGACCCAGCCCTTAGCGCGTGGGGTTGTCAAGGCGTTGGGACCTCTCGGTCTGCTGGTCATAAACTAGCGCGAGTCCCTACATTCACTCGACCATACTCTTACACGTGTTGTGTAATTAAGAACGATAATTGTCTGGTTTCAGGACATCGATTACGAGGGATTTCGTAAATTTCTGGACACCTATCTCGAGGTGGCGGCACCTGATGAACTTTGCAGGCACCTTTTTCTCTCGTTCGTCAAGAAGGTGCCGCGCGGAGTCGATGGGAAAGCTTTTAAGGTACGATTTTTTCGCGGGCTTTTCGCGAAACATTGTTCAATTGGAAAAAGTGCTCTCTATTCTATCGATTTCCGCTTTCGGTCTTACGTGGAAAGTATTCGGGACAAAGGAATAGAGAGCGGACTGCTGCGCGCTGAAAATATTTGTAGCAATCGAACCTTTTAAATTTCTCAAATGTAAATTGAACATTACGTTAAAATTAACCCAATGTTCACCTAAATTTGCGAATTCAATTATCGTCCAAGTAATAAAATATTTGTAGCTCTGGAACCTCTGAAATTTCCCAAATATAAATTAAAAACTGAATTAAAATTCGCCCAATTTTCACCTAAATTTGCGAATTCAATTATCGTCCAAGTAATAAAATATTTGTAGCTCTGGAACCTCGGAAATTTCTCAAATATAAATTAGAAGGTAAATTAAAATTCGCCCAATTTACACTCAACTTTGCGAATTAAATTACCGTCAAAGTAAGGAAAACCGCGAGAAAACAGCGTTACAGTAAAATTACATGGTACCTCTGCCAACGTTAACCACGTCTAACACGAAGAATACGAATTTCTGCATCAGGAAATGGCCGTGATATCGTCGACAACCGCCTGTGCAGCGATTACATCTCACACAACGTCTAGCAGCAACGTGAATAGCACAGGTTTACCAGGTGGAACGTCGACAGAGGGGCATGGTTCTTCCTTGGCGGACAAAATTCACGGTCTGACAGAGAAGCTCCAAGCTTTGGGACACCATAGAACGGAGAGCGAAGCCTCGAGCAAAGCACGAACTGGTAGTTATAATTCTATTTCTCCTTTTAACCAACATCCACTCCACACATTTTCTTTTCATCGGCGTTGAAAATTACGTCGATCGTGTAATTGTCCAAATTTTCATCGATGTTCGAATTCGAACCTGTTCGTTTTTTGCTTCTTTTTTCTTTTAATTTTGCAACAAACAGATAGAAAGCTTGTATTATTGCTTTTAATTACTTGTAGCCGGTTTAATCCTTGCAACGTTGACGAAGGAAAGTTCTATTTAGATTGTCCTTCGACGATAAATTTAGGTCTTTGATAAAGGTATTTACAGTGTAAACGCAATATACGTGCACGTAAACGCGCAGAATCATCTCCCAACGGCGACGCGGAGCTAACAGCGACATTACGCAATATTAACTTCCTCTAACGGGGAGGATGGAGAAAACGACCGAAATATTTACACCGGATAACTGTTTTCCTTGTCACGTTAAGCAATTAACACGCCGAGAGTACGCTTCGGTGTTATTTTAGACGAAAAGTTATACGAGATGTTAGAAAGATAATACGAAAAGTAAGTTGTGAAATTTTTTAAGTCCTCGAAATGGAATAAATATGTAACATTAATTTCTAAAAGTTAAGAAGGCTTTCTACTTTGTAACAAAACACAATGATTAATCGACTCATAAATGAATTCCATTTTGATCCTACAACCTGACGAATCCACAAACGTTCCGATTAACGATATTACTGGCAGAAGAATAATTAATTACCTATCATTCACCTCATACACACTCTAACACTAAATGATCCATAAGATCTAACGCTTCCTTCATCGTCATCCACGAATAAAAGGTGCAAATCAGTAAGATACCAGAAAAGAATCGATCTTTCGTGAGAAATAGGTCGAATGATTGCCAGTTTCATTTGGTAATTTTATCTGGTCACGAGTCATCGGAGCAGTCAATTCTCATCTCTGCAACAACACGGTGTGTATCGAAAAAAAGATCCTATTATTCCGTGGCGATCGGTGGTGAATGGTAATCGAGGCTTGGGGGAAACGAACGAAAAAGAAGAGAACTGCCAGTAGGAAACGAACAATTTCGTTGTGCAGTGGTTCGTTAAAATAAGTTTATCCCGTCCGTTAGCTTCTTTGTGAAATTCGAGCGTAGACAAAGGAAGAGTAAAATGGGGGCGCCGCGGGAAGAAGCAACAATCGATAGTGTACGGCTCTTTCTGTGTGTGCACAATTCCGAAAAATGACGTCGCTCCTCTTTGATTACCCTTCTGCGAGTTTCTTCACGTGTCTAGCGTATAAAGGGAGAATTAACGTGTGCGTATTTTCCACGGAAATACGTAATATTACACTTCTGTGAAATTTCACTGCGGTAAAGATAGAGAGTAGAATGTTTCATCTCCATTTTCGGTATATCGAAAACTGAACTTCAGAAGAATAAATTTGATTGTAAACTTTTTACTAATTTTCGCCTAAGGAATCAGCTCCTGTATAAAAGTCGCACTCTGTACGAAGATAGAGCGTAGAGTGTTCCTCTCACGTCGTCGGTACATACACTACCGGCCAAATGTTTAGAATCACTGTGCATTGAAAAAAAAATTTTAAGAAATTTTTCACGAATTTTTTATAGCAACGGATTCAATATTGGGGTAAATTGACAAGTGATTCCAAATTTTTGGCCGGTAGTGTACGTCAAAAATTTGATTCTGAATTTTTTACTAATTTTCGCGTAAGAAATTAGCTCCTGGCCACTTGCACAATACTTTCAGTCGCATCCTGTATAAAGACAGAGCGTAGAATACTTCTTCTCCCTTATCGGCACATCAAAAACTAATCTTGAAAAGAGAAACTTTGATTTTTAATTTTTTACTAATTTTTGCATAAGGAATTATCCCCTGCCTGTTTGTACAATACTTTCAGTCGCATCCTACATAAAGACAGAGCGTAGAATACTTCTTCCTCGTTATCAGTATATCAAGAATGAAGCTTCAGATGAAGCTTTATTCTGAATTTTGTACTAACTTTTGGGAATTAGCTCCAGCTTGTCTAAAGAAAGAGCGTTTCGATGGAGAACGTTTCTTCCCCATAGTCACTATATCAGCCGTTAACAAAGTCTCTCTAAGCTACCCAAGAGAAACCAGAGAAAACACACGGGGGTGGTGTAATTATCGTTCCCACTGAAATACCCAAGAACCACGAGCTGATTGAAAACCGAAACCTTCGTTGGCGAGATCGTACGATTCCAATCACGAATGGGCCAATATTTAACGCGACATTATCCACAATAATGGTAACTCTGCTCGCTCGTCCAGCAAATATGGGGTGTTTCGGGAAATTCAACTCGCGCATACACACACACAAACAAACACACACACCTATATCGAGCGTTATGTCAGTATACATCTGGCTGTATGTGTCTGATTGATCGGTATCGGGGACAAAAGCGGTCAGGAACACGATGAACCCCCGCGAGCGCGTCCATTAGACGTTGCTCTCTGCCAGTAAATCGAGAATCGAGCCGCGATAAATCAGAAAGCTCCGTCGTCCTATTCGGTCATCCGATCGCTCACACGGCAATATCCTCTGTTGTGCTCTGACCGGCGGCTTCAAGGAAGCGTCCATCCTATATTGACGATACAGCACACCTCGTACAGCTGCCACGACGTGATCGAGAAGAAGAGCACAGACAGCAGCCCCAGTCACAGCCAAATGTCGCGGAACTCGTCCAGGAAGTCGAACAATTCGCTGCTCGTCAACAACGGGAAATTGGAAGGTAGGTCGTGCTCGATGTTAACGACGCTCCTCGACCAATTTCCACCCTACTCCACCTACGAATTCTGTTGCTTTTCAACCCAGGGGGGAATTACACTCGTCTGATCAACCGTATTCTCTTTACTCTGCGCCTTTTTTTCTAGTTTCTCGCCTCCCTTTTTTCTTTTCGACGTTGCAGACACTTCGAAAAATCGAGTGAAAAATCTTCTCATCTTCGTTTATTTTTCTCTTTTAATTCGACGACGCTTAATCGAACGAAAAATGTTCTCGCAGGATGAGGATGGATGTAACGTTAATTCGTAAGAAAAAGAAAGTTACACTAGATATGACGGCGGTACTTAAAAGTTCTTTTCACGAACACATTCCACGTGAACTCGCTGGCGAAACTTCATCAGGCTGAACATTGGAGAAGTTGTAAAGACAAACAACGCACCCGGCTATAAAGATCAAACTCACGTTTCAGTGTAACGACGATCGCATTAAAACTTGTGCAAAAGGCAAATGAGCCGTGCTGTTTAATACAAAGTATATGCCGTTTATCGTGTTCGGTCGCATAGACGAGTCGCAGTAGGTATACTGTGCTGTAACGCAATAGAAGAAATTAACTTTCGGGAAATATTCATCATTGGAATCATCGTCGTTTTGTCAGAAATCGTCACGCATTCATCTGACTAATCTTCATCGTCATTCTCCTTTTTCCTGGGTTCCTCAGCATCCCTTTAGTATGTAAACATTTGCAGCTTCCGCTTTTCTTCTTTGACAAATTTCTCTGTCGCCCAATCGTTTGTTCCTAATTCGTCGCTCTTCTATTTCCACAAGTTTCTCTATTCCTATGTAGGAGGTAGTCTAAAGTAACGGACAAGAGAAATGGTTTATTTTCAAACCCTTTCCCGCACCAACGCTGGCGACACACGAAAACGGACTGTGTCCGAGGCGACCGAATCACAAACAGCCGAGAGTTGTCCGTGTCCCTCGTCGCGAGGCGCAGGCCGAGCCATAAACAAGTGCCTACACCTAATTTTCTACTTTTCTTCTGCGATACATGTCTCTATCACTTTTCTTTTTCCACAAATTTCTCTGTCGCCCAATCGTCCGTTCCTAATTTTTCCCTCCTCTCAATTCCACCAATCGCCAAAGTCTACATCTCCTCCAAGTCCACATATTTCACAAGATAGCCGAAAAAGCAGGACGCTATATTTCCCAATTTCTCACACCCAGCAAACTCTACACACACTCAAAGACACGTTAATTCAACCAAAGCACCAAACATTCACTCCTCCCCGCCGCGTTATAAAAATTAAATTAGCCCCAGCTGATTGAAACTAGCTATTGGATTAATGGGTTGAATGAATAGCGTTCGCTGTTTTATTTCTTTGGCGCGGAAGGACGTCTTTACGCTTAGAAAATCGCAGTCAAAGTGAAAATGAGAAAACTCGTAAGGGTACGACGGAAAGTCTGTTGTCCACTTGAGAAAAATGGACCAGGACTGCCTCAGCCTTTTACCCAGGTCACTTAGGTATAAACAGTTACAGGGCTATGGGTCCGATGACATCTGGTCTATTATGTTATTTTCACTAGCAGTGTTTCTCGTATATATATAACACAATTCATTTTTGCTTACTGGCTGACGCATTATTATTAGTAATAATCCAACACTAGCCCTCTCAATTAGTTCACCAGAAGTGCACCAAACACTTCCGGTACCACAATTTTCCATACGAGATTCACATTGGGAGCCACAGTCGAAATATACGTGTCTCGAACGACGTCCAGAAATTGTTGTCCCGTTTCGCAAAGCACAGTGGAATGGATAAATGTCCGAGCTAGGATCGAAGAATAATTCCGCGAGTATGGGCCATCTCGAGTTAAACGACACACGGTATCCGCGGGATGATCGTAACGTAACTCTTCTTCCCTCCCCCATGATCGTCGTTGGATTCTTTACGATGAGACGTGACATATAGGTTGGCAAACAAATCGATGCCATAAAGGCAGGCTGCCCGACACCGTAAAACTTGTAAGAATGTGTACGACTTAATGGACGACGAGGTCCAAAGGCTGGCTTCGACGGTGTGTCTTAATCGATTTTTCCCTCCACGTCACACATACCCGCGAACGTGGCAAAAACTCTTGACGCACTATTCCGCCGCATGTTACTCGGTAAAAAATTATTATTTCCCCCGTAAACATAGGATGTCTGCTGCGACACTAGCAGGTTTATTACCGCTACACCAGAGAACACTGTTGAGTTCCTCCCGAGTTCTTCATCGGACCTGCAGAAGCGATGTGTTACAAATAAAGACGAAGATCTGAGAAATGGCTCGTGTTGACGAGTTAGAAACCGGATGACACTTGCCACTGGAATAACGTGGAGTTTTATAATACACGAGGAAACGCTGGAGATAGTTTCTTCGAAATCTGTAGATTAGGTACTTTTTGTGTTGCGTTATTTGCGAGTATCACGGAGAATCGAAATGAAAGTGTCGTCGAAAGGGGATACTAGGCGTTAATGGGTTTTTCATTATTTACAATACCATAGAAAAATATTACATATAGTCGGGGCCACGATATAGCGAGGTCGTAAAATCGGTTAGGCGTCAAAGTAAACATGTTTTAGCTGCCGGGACCCCGAAATTGACAGAAATACGAGCAGATAAGTACTTGAAACCATATTGTCAGGACCGTACGAAGAATTCTTGTATCCAGCGAAAGTCAAACTGATTCTAATATATTTACTGAAAACTGCATGCAGCTAGGACAAATTAGGGTTTCTCCCTCTGGGGGAAGCCGCTTTTGGAAGTACGGTTACAAGTAAAGGTCTTATTGAGGTCTTTAACATCTTCATTTACCTGCTCGTGTTATATACAGATAGAAAATGCAAAAGGATTGTGTAGCTTTAATATTAACATATTTTCCATTTGTAAATGAAATACCATTTTCTACTTGAAGTACCAAATCATATGCTACCATTCGTTTATTGTTGGAACCCTCAAACAGACTGCAACACACGGCCTTGAGTGCCGCAACATCAATCGATGCCGATTCTTGAGAGTTTAATTTACGACCTCGCTACATCGTGGCCCTAACTATACTTCTGCGTTAATTTGAACAAACTTCGTCCAAACAATCACCGATTTCTTACATAATTGAAACGCTACCGAGCCGTTATTCTGCGTATCTCCTAGAGGAGACAAAAGGAATAAAAATAAGTTTTCTACGCGTTTCAGTCGCGTGTGCACAGGTAGAGAGATTTATTTAAGAAATCGTTAAGTGTCCGGTGCTAGGGGAACTACCCAAACAAATCATACAATGGGTCAACTCCACTTTTCACCTGACGATCGATACACCACAATCCCATAAACTTGGCGCATTCTAGCGGCGAGTAATAAAATTCCAATGAAAAAGCTTGCGTTAGAAATGTTAGATATTCCTAGATCGAGGTGTCATAAAACATATCGCCGTATTTCTCCTCGTGAATGGAAGGAACACTCTTAAGGCCACGTCTAGCCACGAGCAGCGATAAATTTCTCCGTAGCGTCGCGCGATAGTCGCGATATTACCGGCCGACTTTCGAAGCGGAATTTCAATTTAACCCAAGACCAGATCCACAGGGGTAATTTCCATACTGATGGGATCGTAGCCGGTCCAGGGGAATTTGTGTATCGTTAAGGCGGGCCAAAAATACTGTCTCTCTCTCTCTCTCTGTAAAAAAGGGAGGGATCAGAACGATGGGAAGAAACGGAGCAGCGACACGGGAATATCCTTTTACCGGCTGGAAAAATTTATGTGCGCGCTGAGAATGGCTCGGGAGATCTCCTTTTGCTCGGGAGAGGAGGTGAAGGAGGGTGGGGATCGCATTAGGCTCGATATGATAAAAGCGCCACTGATCTTTTCGCCGATCCATTATCCACGGGAATCCGCGATCGTAAACGCGAGCTTGAATTATAACGTGACACGTCACCTGGACCGGAAATACAAGAAGCTTCCCACGACGACGTCGAGAAAATTTTATGCCTCTACTTTTTTGTGATTTTTAGTGGTCATTAGGTCGTCTCGTGAGTTCGTGTCGAATTTTATCATTTAGAGCAATATTTTCAAGGAATCTTTGAATTTGATGGAAGAAAGGCGTAAGCGCCTTCTCATTTCACAAGTTTTTCCTATTTTTTTTTTTTTGTAAGATCGTTATGTCGTCGAATTTCCTTGGATTTTCGTTAATTTTTCGTCTTCGACACGAACTTATGGGATGATTTAATACTTTGAAATTACTTTTTTTCGCTGTATCGAATTATTTCACTGTTTACAAGTATCACAAAAGGTATCACCGAAAGAGGATACTGAAAAAAATTTGGATGATCTAGAAATGATCTTCGAGATAATCTTGGAGCTATTTTTTATCATCTCCAAATGCAAATCTTCAAAACATATAAACTTCTCTTAGTCATTTCTCCTTAACTTTTAATAGCAGAGGAAATATTAAATATAGAAATGAATTCTCTCCGACTGTATTCGCATAATAGCTTGAAAACCACCGAGTTCCTATCGCGATGGTATTCTCAAGCCGTTCAAAAATTGGCAAAAAGTCATCCGACGATAATAAAAATTATTTGTATTGTTCATCTGTTTTCGTTCTTCGATTCCACCCAAAAGTCGAGAAGAATTCATTTCCACGCCCAACAATTTATACGTTCCTCTACAAACGAGACACCCAGTGTATCTTCCGTTCTTCGAGCTAATCTTAATTTATGGAAGTTGAAAATAACATTTAATAAACGTTTCGCGGAGAGATTGAACGTTGGCGAGATGAAAGGACGTCTGTTAAGGAGATTAGGTAACGGGCGACAAAGAGAGACCTTTAACTCCCGGGCAGTTTCCGGAAATGTTTATCGGCGTTTGACGTAAATTTTGACGAGCTAGACTAAACCGTTCGCGGTTACCCCGTCTAGATCCGGGAAACGCGTAAATAGTGGATTTTAAAACGACAGCTTGATCTTTGGCGAAATG